AAAAAAACTTAATTTTTTTAAACCCCCCCCCCCTTGCGGTAAGTTTTTTTTTTTTTTTTTTTTTTTTTTTTTTTTTATTGAAATTCTACAACAGCTTAGTTCAGGGACCGATCCAGCATCTTTGTTCCATTGCTGACAGGTTTCTGGCAAATGAATAAAAGAAAAAAAAAGTGTGTCAAAGCGACCCTTTGAGGATGCCAACACTCAAAACATAATAATGCAGTCGTTTGACCACAGATAACTGATTTTCTGACACTTCTAGTTCCCTTTGGAGTTTTGTTGCACATACAGCAATAGTTGGTGCCAGAGAGGCAAAGGGAATTGAAAATGCACTCTGCAAATAAATGTCAAACAACTTCAGGAGAATGCTGGATTTTTATTTATTTTTTTTTTTATTATTTATTCCGTCTGAGGAGCCAATCACCTGAAGTTCTCCCATGTGATTACTGACAACACCAGATAATAAAGCATCATAGTTTCAGCCATTCGTGCTGCCTTAAATTGATTTAATTCAAATGAATCGCAAGTCAATATTCCGCTGCTATGCCAGCATATTTTATAAACCTGAGCGTCAGTTCTTTCATTGAATTATTTTTTCACATCTTCTTTAAAGAAGAGCAGGTTTGATGGGGAGGAATTTGTCCTGAACGTCACATAATAACAGCAGTAATAGAATTCATCAGCAACTCTAAAGGGAAAAGCAGTGAAGGGGAGAAATTCGTTTTAAGGGAGGACTGGGGGGGAAACTTTGATAGATAAGGGTAAGTGCTATGAGCAGTCCTCCCCCCTGTTGCACTGCCAGCGTGGCACCGGCTTGCATGACACATAAACACGCACAAAGGCAGCAACAGGGCCCTGAGACTGTGTTAACGTGTGTTGGTTTAAAACATTTGGTATTTAGAAAGAGAAAGTTTGTGCTGTATCTGTGTGGGTGGGTGTGAATACAAGCAACCGAGTGAAGGAGTGACATGCTCTGCCAGCCCCCAGACACGGGACTCATGAAAATGCTAATGGTAGCCGGATTAGCGCCTTGGCTGAGGAAATATCCCTTTTGGAGATATCGAAATACCTCACCACTTCCTTTTCATTCCATCTGCTTTCACTTTCCCCGTTGTATGCACTTTTTGGAACTTCACATTCATTTTCTGCTCTCCCCCCTTCATCTCCCTCCTTTGTTTGCTCTCTGTCTTTCATCATGAGCCAAATCATGTACATTACAATGAGAAGGAAAACAAGGTGGTGCTTTTCTTTTTTCTTTTTTTTTTGTTTTTCTCAACCTTTTGAAATGAAAGTTTTTGTGTTTTTTCTGTTTAAATGTGATCTAAAAACATCAGCAGGTTGTCGTTCATGCCTTTAAAACAGAAAATGGAGTGCAGTTGCACACATTGTATTATTAAGAAAAAAAAAGTTTACGCTGTAGGTTTTTGTGGTGTAAAAATATGTTGAATTTATGCTGAACAATTATAAGAAAAAAGATGTCGGATGAAAACAAAAATGAAAAAGCTGTAAAAACCTGGTTCCCCTAAAACAGAATAGAAAATATTTGAAGGAGAACAGCAGTTTTGTGTGTAACCATTACAAATTGAAACCCTGCTTTCAAATTGCAAATGTAAGCTCTCAACTTATGGCACTAAAATTGCC